TGGTCTAGACTGTCCCTTCTTGGCAAGCTTTTTCAGAAGTGATACGTTATTGTGAGCTTCCTAGGTCTGAGATAGAGTGACTGGCACCAAGGTCACCTAACAGGAGAAGATGTAGAATTCGTGGTCTCCCAGTTTCTAATCTGGAGCTTAACCTCTAACAATAAGTTGACTCTGAAAATATATATATATACCTCAGTTGTTCTATGTAGTGTTACTTGTCCCCCTCTTGTGGCATGGATCATGTTCTATTTTTTTACCTTGTTAAGTGCAAGTACAATAATCACTGTTCAGCCTTCTCTGCAGATATTTAATATACATGCCGCATAGAACAATTCTGGTGATCTGTATCGTATTATGCCTTCGATTGTAAGTGATAGTTGTGAGGTGCTATCATCTGTAATGATGTCTTGTCTGTTTTCCGTTTTCTTTTTAGGCACAGTGGGATATTAAGCCTTTGTTTGTCTTTGCATTTTTTAGGAGAAGGCAGAAGAAGCCTATAATCTCTACCAGAATTCCACACTTTCATCCCATCCTATTGTTGGTTTGTCTGAGCTGCGTTCCTTATGCACCAGCATCTGTCCAGATGAACGAACATTTTGTCTGGTGCTGCTCCAATTGCAGAAGGAAAAGAGGGTCACTGTCCTGGAGCAGAATGGTAATAAGGTATGGCACACAACTGGCTGTTTCAGGCAGGGATCCTATCTCTGTAAAAAAAATCATAGAAAATCATAAGGCTGGAAGGGACTCGGTGGTTAGTTTGTTTCTTAGCTGAGGAAGCCAATGTTATTTGAAGATACTTCCGTAGTCGTGTGGCCAGCATGACTACGCCGAGGTGCACGGAATAGCAATAGCAATAGCACTTAGACTTATATACCACTTTATAGTGCTTTACAGCTCTCTCTAAGCCAGTGATCGCCAACCGGTGGGCCGCAGCCCATTGGTGGGCCATGAGAAAATTTTGGTGGGTTGCAGAGAAATCTCGCCCCCAGAGCACCCTCCCAAAGCAATTAATCCAGGCTGCGCAGAAACACAAGGCTGCTCAGCCCACATGGCCCACAGGAACCCTCCCCGCCCGCCCACTCCTTACCTGGCAACCTTGTCTGCTAAATTGCTATTTTTCCTTTCTCCGATCTTCATCTGTTTTGCTCTGCTGGGAGATTTAGATTAGCTAGGAAGCAGGAAATGGTTGGATTTCTTGCTTTCTAGCTAAGCACAGCCAAACCTCCCTTAGGACTGAAGGTTTGCTTGCAAGCAAATTCAGTGCAGACTCACAGCAAGCAAATTTGAGAGACTGAGCTAGCCGATGGCAGATAGATAGATCACTGAATGATTCTGTGAGCAACTCAATCTGCCTGCTTTGCCTGATTTTGGATAAAAGTTGCTCTCTTTTAAAATAAAAAATTCAATATTTACATGCATGGTGTTTGCTTGCAAGCAAATTTTATGTGACAGACTGAGCTAGCCAGTGGCAGATAGATTTCTGAATGAATCTGTGATTCTGTGAGCGACTCAATCTGCCTGCCTGCTTTGCCTGATTTTGGGTAAAAGTTGCTCTTTTTTTATAAAAAAATCAATATTTATATAAATATATATATTTACATACAAGTCATGCCCAGCCAGTCACATGACCACCAAGCCACACCCACAAATTAGGCCATGCCCACAGAACCAGTTAGTGGTCCCTGGGATCTAAAATTATGAGTTTGGTGGTCCTTGAGGTCCAAAAGGTTGGTGACCCCTGCTCTAAGCAGTTTACAGAGTCAGCATCTTGCCCCCAACACTTTGGGTCCTCATTTTACCCACCTCGGAAGGATGGAAGGCTGAGTCAACCTTGAGCTTGGTGAGATTTGAACTGCCAAATTGCAGTCAGTCAGCAGAAGTAACTTGCAGTACTGCACTCTAACCACTGTGCCGAGACTCTCTAGAAATGCTGTTGCCTCCCCACCAAAGTGCTACCTATTTATCTACTCGCATTTGCATGCTTTTGAACTGCTAGGTTAGCAGGGTCTGGGGCAAGTAACGGGAGCGTCACACAGCACTCAGGTCTCAAACTCAGGCTGTCAGCTTTCCAGATGAAAAGTTCAGTGTCTCCAACCACTGAGCCATTGTGCCCCTTTAGCAACAATAATAAATCTTATTATTAAAGGGCCTTTCTTGATGATATCACAGGTCTCATAGTTTAATATCATATAATAACACTGTCTTTCAGATAATGAAATTCGCCCGAGGGCTTCATGCAAAAGTCTCCCCAATGAATGATGTAGACATTGGGGTTTATCAGTTGATGCAGAGTGAGCAGCTGTTGTCGCAGAAAATGGAATCTCTGGCACAGGAAGCAGAGAGGTAATATGGGGTGTGTGTCTTTCATCTTTGTACAAACCTGAGATTATGGCACAAGCGAGAGATTATTCAGCATCCTTCTTTAAGGAGGAAAAAAAACAACCTGATTTTGAAAGGGCAGCAAAGCATGGCAGATCGTAAGGTTTATGAAAGCAGTTTAATTGATGATAATACACACACACCAAAAATGAGAAAAAATGTGTATTTGTATTTGCCTTTTAGCTATATAGGGAGATGGGTCGAAGGTACAGAGAGAATAATGGGATTGTAGCTATTCCTGGTCTGAAAAATGGACAAGCTCATGTCTTTGCTTTTTCAGATGTAAACAGGAGGCTCGGAGTGCCAGCAAAGCTGGGAAGAAGCAACAGGTAAGGTGCTGATGGAAGTCAGGTACATGGTGCCCCAGTCAGTATGTTCATCTCCAAACTGCCCTGTTGCAGATTTCCAGACTTGTGGTCATGGCTTTTTAGAGTCTTGTTAAGACAGTGGGTGAGTTTGGGTGTTATTGCACAGATGTGCAAAGACCTTTTGTCAGACTTACTTGGTAGATCTGACAGGAAACACAGTTAAATAAACCAATTCTACTTGACGGCAAAGCTGTATTAGCAGAATCTTGCAAGTGCAAAGTCACATTCCTTTCACTGTCACCTTTACAGCCCGATAACTTAAAAAGGATTCCCACCTGAGATGCAGCTGTGGGCTATGCTGTCTCTTCTCTGACCAACCCAGCACCACTTTGCCCAGTCTCGTTTTCCTGGGTTTTCCTATCTTTTGAATAAAGTCTGCTTTTTTATGTTCTTAGGCCCTGAGGTCTTTGAAGTCCAGAAAAAGAGTGGAAAGGCGAATTGCAGAGCTTCATTCCAAGTTGGACGTGGTGCAAGGCATCCTAGATCGCATATATGCCTCTCAGACAGATCAAATGGTATTTTTTTTTCCGTTGCCTGACATTTATTTTGGGGAGTTTTACGCTTTCGTATTTTTCTTTCTTTCAGGAGCGTGGTTCACTTATCCACTGAGGATCTCACTTTGATTGTCCCAAACAAGGAACAACTCTTCTTTTTTTTCCTGCTCTCCTTTTACAATATATGTCATTGGATTTCATCGTCTCAGCGGCTAATTCATACACATGTGCTTGCTTTATGGCACAGTGCTGTGTTGTGAGTCATACTGACTAACCTTTAACTGAACACACCTTGTGTCATATCCCTGATGGAGACTGACTCCGACAGGGAGTGGAAGTGTGGCTCCGGAGGTTGTGGAGGAGGCTGGGGAAGGGCAGAGGCCAACTGGGCAGTCAGAGGAGGACCCAGGCCCATCCCCTCTCCATCCTAGGGCACGCAGGGAGGAGAGGATAAGGGAGAGACGTGGTCTCCTCGAGAGGAGAGGGCTTTGATCCTCTTCATGGGCTGCAGCTGTGACAACTGGATAAGAGGACGAACATGCATACAGACGAATGCTGGAAACAAAGCGTGGAAATATCTCTAGTTTATGGTTCCTGTCTGAGTTTGGCATCCTTCCCAGTGTGTGTTATCTGTGGATGTCCTCCAGCCCTTATCTTGCCTGGTTTGTGTTGCTTTTTTCCTTCTTCTTGTAACTGTGTGGGAGTTTTTTGTCTTCCGTCAAGAATATTCAAAGCTTGGAAGCAAAGTGAAGGAATAAAAAGGGCCTCACCTTTTTTCTGTGACTGTGTTTGTTTTGTATCCCACCCTGGGTCATCACACCATAGAATTGTTGTAAAGGGAATCTAAATTAACCCTCAGTCCAGTCAAGATGCTATAAAAAATAAGCTTGATTTCTCTCTTGCCCCAAAAGGTATTTAATGCTTACCAGGCTGGACTAGGAGCTCTGAAGTTGTCCATGAAAGATGTAACTGTGGAAAAGGCAGAGAGCCTCGTGGATCAGATTCAAGAGGTATGTAAGAAGCAGGAACAGGTAGTCCTCAATTTACAACATTTCATTTAGTGACTGCTCAAAAGTTGCAATGGCGCTGAAAAAAGTGACTTACGTCCGTTTTTCAGAGTTACGACCTTTGCAGCACCCCCACGACCGTGTGATCAAAATTCAGACGCTTGGCAAATGGTTCGTACTTACGACCATTGCTGTGTCCCAGGGTCACGTGGTCCCCTTTTGCGACCTTCTGACAAGCAAAGTCAATGGGGAAGCCAGATTCACTTAATGACTGGGTTACTAATTTATATCAGTTGCAGTGATTGACTTAGCAATGGTGGCAAGAAAAGTCGTAAAATTGGGCAAAACTCACTTAACACATGTCCCACTTAACAACAGAATTGTTGGGTCTCAACTGTGGTCGTAAGCCGAGGACTACCTGTACTGTTCACGCAAAGGTGACATACATGGCTAAAATAAAAACATCATATAGAAACATAGAAAATGGACAGCAGAAAAAGACCTAATGGTCCATCAAGTCTGCCCTTTGAGGTTCTTTATTTGTATATTTAATTAATTTCGTATGATGGACATGGGTTTATTTAAACTCAGTATTGATGGTTGACCCACCAACTCTGCTGGAAGTTGGTTCCCAGCTTCCATGGCTCTTTCTGTAAAGTAATACCGTACTTTTTAGCATGAAAGTATTTTGAACTTTCCTCCTGTCAGTTTGAAGCTATGCCCCTGTGTTCCTGATGTTTGCTTGATATTGAAAATACTGCCGCTTAGAATACTGCCGCTTATTCACACTCTTAATATGTTTAAAGGTTTCATCATGTCCCCCCTTTCCCTTCTGTCCTCCAGGCTGCACATTAATTACATATCTCTAATTAAAAAATCCACTTCTCCCACAGCTCTGCGATACCCAGGATGAAGTAGCTCAGACTTTAGCAGGCGTGGCAATCAATGGCTCGGGTGAGTCAAAGCTTGCTTCATGCGCTCTTCTGATTCATATTTCTCCTTAACAGCCACACATGGGAAATATTGTTTTCCTAAAGTTACAGTTGCTGTCTATAGCAGGGGTCTCCAACCTTAGCAACTTTAAAACTTGTGGTCTTCAAATCCCAGAATTCCTCAGCCAGCTTAGCTTAGCTGGCAGAGGAATTTTGGACGTTGAAGTCCACAAGTCTTAAAGTTGCCAAGGTTGGAAACGCCTCTTCTATCGTGTTTTTCAAATTTGACAACTTTTTTAAGGACTTGAAGTTGCAAATTTGAAAAAAATTGCGCTGTAGCATGTAAAACAGATTTGTTAAAGAAAGGAATTGATTCTGCCAGTAACAGATATTTTTGATAGCTTCCACTGTAGGTTATAGGCATATGTCTTGTTTCCAGTTGTAATGCATAAGAACTATTGGAGCTCTTGACTAAAAGTGCCTGGTCAGTTACACATTTTCCTCTTACCTAATAATTGTGTCCTTTACTCTCAGGATTACATATCACTCTCCTGATCTCTGCAGATTCCTTTTCTATATTATTTGTAAATGTTCCACATGTGGTGTGGATTAAATTAAAATTATGGATGAAGTTCTTAATCTTGTTCTCAGAATATTCATTGAGTGACAGTTAATTATTAGATGAGCAATTTCTTTTGCCAAATGGATTATTTGAGAACCTATAGGCCCATTTTACCTCTGCGTGCCTGTTGTGTTATTGTCTATCTCATTCCCCAGATGAGTTGAATCTGTGGTTGTGAAGTGTTTAGGATATTTATTCTTTAAAGTTGTCTGTAACCTTTGGCGTGATTTCTAAAACCTTGGGTAAACAATCCGTTCAGACTTCTAATCAGAATAAACTTCCCTTTTCCTGACAAAGTCTGTTGGCAGAGCAAATAGGAACACAACCAATCCATGAAGGGCAGAGACTCACTTGATGCTTCCACACAGAACCCAGCAGTTTATCCATAAAGGAATGCCATCTTTATTGTTAGAAAAACATAGTTCAGCTTAAATAATAATATATTTGCTTTAATGATCGTGATTCCTCTACTTTCTGTGTTCATGACCTAATTGGTGCTCTTAATTGCTTCTATACATGCATTAATTATAAGAATGATAGTTGAAAAATGCTTCTATTAAATATGAATTATATGCTTCAGAGTTTTTGCCTTGGGTGAGCTTAGATTGTGTGGACAGATATGGGTTGATTATCTTTGCACGAGGAAGCCATATAAGACAATTTTGAGTGATGCTTTGTACCAGATCTGAATGTGTATTGCAGATTAGATCAGTGTTTCTTAGATATTTTTTCTCCCCAACTATGTGGAAGATTAAAAATAACCATACCCAAGCGGTTTGCATTAACAACATGGAACAACTGTAAAATAATGAGAATGCTTGTTTCAAGCTCTTGCTCTCGTGTACAACTTAAGATTGCACGTTGTGCATTTTTGTATTCCAAAGCTCAGCTTCCCGATCGAGTTTACCTCTTTTTACATTTTTTCAGTCCTATGTACAAATCCTTGGGAGTAAGCTCCATTGAATTTTGTTACGTTGGACTGTGAATAAACACCTATGAAGACCGAGATCAGTTAATTTGTTTTCTTACCTCAGAAGCTGATACAGAGGAGCTTGAAAGAGAATTGGACAGTCTTCTCCTGGACTCCCCAAAAAGACAGCCACACCTGCCTTCTGTTCCACCAAAGCAACTGTCTCCAGCTTCTGTAGGACTTCCCAGCTTCACAGATGCTGAGCTTGAAGCCGAACTGGAGAAGCTCACTTATTCAGATGGAGGTAAGCTTTATCTTGTACAGTTTTCCTGTGTCTAGTGTTTCCCACAGGTAGTCCTCAACTTACAGCCACAGTGGAGCCTAGAATTTCCATCACTAAGCGAGGCAGCTGTTACGTGTTGGCAGCTGTTCACTGTTAAGCATATCATCGTGGTCATTAAGTGAGTCGCACAGTTGTGAAGCGAATTGACTTGGCTTGTGGAAAGCTGGCTAGGAAAGTTGCAAGTGGCAATCAGGTGCCATTGTAAAAACATGCTGGGTGCCAGTCTCCTGAATATTGATCCTGTGACTTGGGGGAATGCTGCTGTGGTTGTAAGTGTGAAGACCAGTGGCAAGTCCCCTTTTTCATTGCCATTGTACCTTTGGACAGCTGCTAAATGAATGGTCATAAGTCAAGGACCACCTGTAATTCTGTAAGCAAAGCTCTCTCTCCAGCAACTTCCTATAAAGTTACTCGGTTTCTTAAGGAGCCTCTTCTCACAGATCTTAAGGTTTTCTTCTGGGTTAATGATGCCCTTATTTGGGTAGATCAGTGGTTTAGCAGCTTTAAGGCACGTGGAATTCGATTCCCAGAATTCCCTAGCCAGCATGTCCATACGTTTTAATGTTGCTAAGGTTAAGAAACAATATGTTGCTGGGACCAAAATTTCCTTTTCAAAAGGTTTTCTACTGCAACTGATGATTAAACTCACTTTAACCTAAATCGGTTTGGTACAGTATCTTCTGTGTTTAGCTGATCTTACCAATTTTTCTAGGGTTTTTTTTTTTTGTTTTTTTTTTTGCCACAAGCCATTGCACCACCTCTCTAAACATCAATAGTCTGATCGGTGCAGAAGGCTTCTTAAATTTTAACACTTCACAGAGATGTGAAAAGAAATAATAGCACACAATATGATTTTACTGTTTCTTGGACGGTGGTGCAAGAAAGGTTTTTTTCCATAGCCTTTTATGGAAAACATACATACAGAAAAGGCCTCTGAGTAGCTCTTCCATTTGCCCTCAAAAGATTCCTTTAACAAATGCAGCCATCTAGCAAACAACTAATATATATATTTACAGAGCAATATAGATATATGTGTACATCATGCATTGCAGAACAGCAGTAAAAAATATGTAATCCAATTTTTAATAGCTGCTGGAGGCTCTAGTAACAAAGAAATGCATCACGATACGTATATGTTTCTCTGTACTGTTTGCAAGTGTGCTTGACCACCTTTCTTTTTTCTTTTTCTTTTTTGGGTGTGTACAGAATTGGCACAAAAGACTGATCGGAAGGCCTCTGACCGCCAAAGAGTTCTGGAGCTGCATCTTTAATGACTCAACATCCCCCTTTGTGCTGTGAAGTTGTCTTAAACTTTGCTGATCATAATTCCGAAAATAACTTGTTGGAACATGAGTCTTTATTAGCTCTTGTTAAGACTGCACTTTTCTAACAGGCAGGAAGTTCTGCCACGACAATCCAATCCTTTCCACAGAAAATTGCTCAGTTGTCATTCTTTTTTTTTTCCCCCAGTGCCAAATTACAGTGTCTCTTCGGTTGATTTGCTCACCTATATTGCCACTCACGGTTGCTCTTTCTCTGGCAAGTTGACATCTTGCTGAGCCTAATGTTGTTGCACACATCCTGAGGGACCCCCACCTTGCGATGACTTGAAAGGCAATAAAGTCGCACTCGGTCTGGCATCCCGCTGTGTTGGGCAGTTGTGCGAAGGGCTTAGTAGATGCACTAGATAAGATGCTGACTTGGATAGCAGTGCGCTGCACTTGCCAGCAAGTAGATATATATATTGATGATTTTTCTATATTTCTTCTTTGTATTTGCACGGTTGTGGATAACTTAGGTTGAGGTCTGACGGTTTTAGAGTTTGTTTTGTTACACAAGTATGGAGCGTCTGCCGACACAAAATTCAGCTCACAGATCCCCCTTTACTTCAAGACTTGACATCGCCTTAAAGGAATTTGCAGAGCTTTTCAACATGAGGCTGTTATTTTTGTTGCTGCTGCTTGAAGAGGATGTTTGAAACCTGTTCAGTTGACCTGCAAAGAGAGCCATTCACGTTGCCTTCGTGTTAGAAAGAACTCTCCTCACTGGGAGATTTAAGCTACTCCCTTGAATCAGAAATACACAGAGGGCGGGTTAGCGTAACCTCTAACGTCTAAGAGGGTCTTCAGTCACAGTGTGCTGGAATAAGGTTTAAACACTAGCAAAGATTTGAATCACTGTCTCAGCACCATTCATAATAATGGTGGAGATGGTCACCATTTCCTGACATCTCAAGACACTTAATTTATGGGGATGGAAGAGCTGCTGAATCAAACCACACTTAAGCCCTGCCAGAGATGGCTTGCAATGGTCTTCTCTCCTTTTTTCAGAAGACTTCCTGAGAAACCGCCTCTGTTTACATCAGGGCAGCGGTTTATTCTTTGTTATTGTTTAATGGCAATATAGAAACCAACTGCAGAAACTGACTGAAGAAAAGCTGGTTGATTGACTTGTGCTTGGGCACCTGCCGGAATAATTTTGGGGAGGATGGGTTGTGGGGGAAGAGATGAACAAATTTCTGCTGTTCACCCTTTGGAGAATAATGACTTTATGCTTTTGTTCTCTGAAGCTAGCTTTGATTTAGACTGTGTGATGGGGGCTTTTTGCCAGGGAGGACATCTGGTAAAATTGGAAAAAAGGGAAAATGTAAATCCGTGTCAGGGCATGCCCTGTAAGTTCACTACAAAACCTGCTTCTTCCCCACCCCTCAAAGCCGGTGAATCATATACCACGTGTTCAAACAAAATTCAAGAATTGTGTTTATGTTACTTTAAGGGCATTGTGCTTGATTGGTTTAGAAAGGAGAGGGAGGGAAAATGTCCCTCCAACCTTCTTTATTTCTCTCTCTCTCTGAACAGTGATATAATAAAGGAGTGAAAAGACTTCTGGAGTTTAGTCCTCTTATCATTCCATATAACAATATTCAATTAAACTCATTATTACTCTTTCAAAAAAAAAATTCCAAGTGAGAATTCCTGCTGGACCTCAAGCAAAGCCCAAACAATGCCTGTTTAATAAATCTGTATACATGAATTGTATTCACTTCCAAAGGTTCACTTGCTCTGTAAAAGCATTTTGTTCTCTGTGGCTCTGAATTCCTTCTTACATTTTGTCTTATTTGAGCATAGCATTGGGAAGCCATTTGATCTCCGCTGCACCTCCACACCAGAGGGCCCTCATTCCACTGGTTTGAGCACAGCCGCTTAATAGGTTTCATTGCTCATTCGCTATTCATCTAGCAAAGTCAATTTTGATTCTTTGGCTTTCTGTACCTGTTCGGTTTCTCCACTTCGCCTGAGATTAACTATGCACACATCCCCCACATGTGATGCTGCGTTTTTTTTGGGAGGGGGGGGAAGTGATATCAATGCTGGACTATCTATTTTTTGCTGTTGGCAAAATAGTTGTGCTGCACCCTATTCACATTCTATATTTTGAAAAATAAATGTGATCTAATGAGGCAAATCTGGGGGAGTCTGCATTTTGGAGCATGATTTTTGCTAGCCATGGGAAGCACAGGGACAGATAATTCCTTCCTATGGATGTGTACATGCTGACATGCTTTTAAACTGTTTGTGCCATGCCCCTGATGGAGACTGAATCTGAGGGAGAGGAGGAACAGCCAACAGGGAGTGGAAGTGTGGCTCCGGAGGTTGGGGAGGAGGCTGGGGAAGGGCAGAGGCCAACTGGGCAGTCAGAGGGGGACCCAGGCCCAACCCCTCTCCATCCCAGGGCACGCAGGGAGGAGAGGATCAGGGAGAGACGTGGTCTCCTCGGGAGGAGAGGGCCTTGATCCTCTTCATGGGCTGCAGGTGTGAGAACTGGATAAGAGTTTGGACCGGCATACTGGCAAACGCTGGAAACAAAGCGTGTAAATATCTCCAGTTTATACTTCCTTTCTGAGTTTGGCATCCTTCCCAGTATGTGTTATCTGTGGACATCCTCCAGCCCTTATCTTGCCTGGTTTGTGTTGCTTTTTTCCTTCGTCATGTAACTGTGCGGGAGTTTTTTTGTCTTCCGTCAAAGATATTCGGAGCTTGGAAGCAAGGTGAAGGAATAAAAGGGGCTTCACCTGTTTTCTGTGACTGTTTTTTTTGTATCCCACCCTGGGTCATCACATATAGATTCAAGAACCAACTGTTAAAAAACATAGCTTTACGAGAAGGCTGAATTTGTGCTGCCTACCCATGATTAGCTACTTAGCTAGTCCTTAACTTATGACCACAGTGGAGCACAACATTTCTGTGGTCAAGTCAAACATTTGTTAAGTGGGATTTGCCCCATTTTGCGATGTGTCTTGCCACAGTTGTTAAGTGAATCACTGTAGTTGTTAAAGTTAGTAACACGGTTGTTAAATGAATCTTGGCAGAAGGTTACAAAAGAGGTTTCGCACTGCGACCGTCATAAATACATGCCAGTTGCCAAGCGCCTGAAGTTTGGTCCTGTGACCACGGGGATGCCGCAATGGTCATAAGTATGAAAAATGGTTATAAGCCACTTTTTTCAGTACCATTGTAACTTGAACAAACTGTTTTAAGTTGAGGACTACTTATACTATTGACTCCAAGGGATTTATTTATACTCATTGTTAACATTTGTAATAAATAGCTCTATTTTTATTGTGAATGTAATCTCTACAAAGTGCTAGTTGTTTCTGGCTCTAGGGGCGGTGCTCATCTTCGTCACAAAAGCCGAAGAGCCAGTGATGTCCGAAGACGTCTCCATGGTCATGTGGCCAGCATGATTAAACATCGAAGGTACATGGAACGCTGTTCCCTTTCCACCAAAGTGGTCCCTATTTTTCTACTTGCATTTTTTGCATGCTTTCGAACTGTTAGGTTGGCAGAAGCTGGGACAAGTAACGGGAGCTCACTCCGTTACGTGGCGCTAGGGATTTGAACTGCCGAACTGCCGACCTTTCTGATTGACAAGCTCAGCGTCCTTAGCCACTGAGCTACCACATCCCTTGTATTATCCCTACAAAGGGATAATACAAGGCTATTCTCTCTCTAGCTTCAAATTGTAGATTTTTGGGGACAATAATGTTCAATACAACTTGCAGAAGATTCCCCCACTCCCCTTAATGATCTGTGTAAGAGATAAGGAGATCTTAATGATGTCAGTCTCTACTACATTTGGAGTAGAGTAGAAGATTTGCTACTTCAGAAAGACTGGAAGAGGCATTCAGTGGTTAATGCTGAACAATTTGTGCCTCGTTGAAGTGATCTGTAATTTTCAGGCACTGGCCCTAAATGCGAATGCAATCAAGACGAATGAGCAAAAAGAAATTATAAAGTCCTAGTTACTAAAAGAGGGCAATTTATGTAGAGAATGTAATTTTTTTTTTGTTTTTAGAAGAGAGAACAGAAGAGATTAAAGATTAATTGCAAGTTTAAAGGTTGTGCTAGTGGCGGTTGAATACCAGGGGGAAAATAAGGGTATTTATGTTACACTGGGTACATACATCGCCACTCGCATTCAAGGGTTTAATGCTTTGTTTAATGCTTCTCCATAATTTGTACCAAAATGATTCTAACTTGGTGCTTTAAATGAGAGCCAACATTCTTATTTTCCTGGGAATTAACCGGCATGTTTTGGAGAGTTTGGCTTTTAAAATATTTGCCTAAAAAAACAATTATGCTGCCAAAATAGAAGAAACTTAGGATATCATTGACAATGCTTGGGAAAACAGTAATTGAAAGGGTGAGCTCAGAGTCTGCAGCATATTGTCGTCTCTGGATGCTTAAGCTTCTTGAACCATATGAATTAAGAACGTTTATATATTAGCTTAATTTTTCTAATGCCAAGGTATAAAATATGAAGCTACATAGTGAAGACTTCTCCAAGATATCTTTCTGCTTAGCAGGGAGCGATTCTGGTTAACTTATTGGAGGAAGACTTAGATTATGTTGTAAATCAGCATAATATTAGCATTGGGACTCATTGTTTTTATGCAGGAAAGGTAGTCTAAGGATAGATGAATTTAATTTCTTCCATTTACTTAGCAGATCATTCCTTTTTCTAGTATTGCTTTGTCTAGATCACTGTGTCCAAAATAGATAAAGCTAAGGCTACTATTATTAGGTTCTTTCACTGCACCAAAATTTCAGTTCCCTTTGTAAGGTCCTCAGCAATTATTCAATAGAAACCAGCTCTTCAAGTGTTTATCCTGCCTCCTTTCCAAAATATATCAAGTGGCACCTGCCTTTTAGAAGACCAAGGCTCCTGAAATTCATGAATCCTGATCTTCTAGGATTTTGGAAATCTTTGGATGTTACCTTGGACATGGGATTTGGAAATTAGGTGAGCCTATGGGTATGGTTTATATAATGGATGTTGGGTTTGTCTTTAGCTCCCATTAATACCTTTCCTGCTGTGTTCTTTCGATTTGATTTTAAACCCATGTGTGCCAATGAAAGTCATAATTGTGAGATGAGTGGTGATACAATTTGAAATAATAATACAGATGGACATTCTGGCTAAGTAAGCCCCCTTCAGTTTTCCTCATCTCCAATATGAAATCAGCACATAAATATATTTTTAATATTACTAGCACCTAGCCAACATGGCTGATCTTGAAAAGTTTAGCAGATTAGTATTTAGATGAGAGACCACTAAAATCTCACGGCTGTATGTTAGATTATGAAAAAATAGAGAATATACTCAAAGAGGGCAAACCATTTCCACATTACTATAGGAAAACGGCATAGATGGGTCTGTGAAATCACTCAGAATATAACATGTATGATGGGAGACTTTATCTTGTCTCATTTTAACCTGCACCAACCTTAAGAAGCTAAGTTGGGTCCAGAGAGGGTCTATGGCTCCAAGAACATTTGATAGATTCCATCTTTTTAAGCGGGAATTTGGACCTTTCTGTCATAACTTTACCCCTAAATCCAAATTCAGTAATAAAACCATTCAGGTTAAGCCCTCTCGTCCAAAGCAATTACAAGTATTGCTTTAGTCACTAATTTTAATCTGGTTATTGATTTAGTCATTTAAACCTCATGCTGATTTCGACAAATGGTTCCCGGGAAGAGTCAATAATTAGCGTTTGAGTGAAAAATAATCTAGGAAGCTATTGCGGTCTTTTGTTGTTTGCTGTAAAAAGTGTATATTTTTTGTCCTAGAAGACAAACAAAGCTACAGCGAGAGAAAAATTATAGCTCTCCCTCATCTTGGCAGGAGTTGGATAGAGGCATTGTTTCTAAATCCTTGTTAGCTTTGCCAAAGATGCTTTCTTTAGCAGAGTAGCCTGATATTTAAAAAGTACTTAAAAGTACTGTTTGATTAGAAGCAATCAAGGGACAAACTGTGTATATACTAAAAGACATTATGCTTTTATATTAGCTGATGATAAGTTACAGTAGCCCACTACTTATAAAGAACAACAATAGCAAAGATAATTTGATTGGGTTTCACAACAAGTGCAGGAACAAATTAAACTTCTGAAAGCTTTTTATCTGAAGTGCCCAGTAGAAAAGCAGGGTGAGATGTAGATGGGCAATGGGGACAGAATTCTGGCTAGAAAGGAGAGAGAGAGAATGAGAGGGGGAGAGAGAATGTGGGAGAGAGAATGAGGAGGAGAGAGAATGAGAGGGGGAGAGAGAATGAGGGGGGAGAGAGAATGTGGGAGAGAGAATGAGGAGAGGAGAGAGAATGAGAGGGGGAGAGAGAATGTGGGAGAGAATGAGGAGGAGAGAGAATGAGAGGGGGAGAGAGAATGAGAGGGGGAGAGAGAATGTGGGAGAGAGAATGAGGAGGAGAGAGAGAGAATGAGAGGGG